AATTTGGAGCTTCAGAATCATACAAGGTGAGGAAGTCTCAGGCGAAGCGCCCGGCCCGCTCTAAAATCTGGCCTCTGGGTGCGACAGGGAGTAGTTATTTATACGGAAAAGGAATTGAGAAGGATGAGGAGGACGAGTTGTTCCTTCCCTTCTTTGAAGGCCAAGACAGCAGGTTCCAATAACTTTGCTTGACGTCTTCTGGCAACTTTGGTGTGTACGAAGGAGTCCCAGAGGAAACAGGGATGTCGTTCGTGACAGCGTCGGCCTGCCCCGTGTGGTTGGTTGTGGCAGGTCCTGAAGAGGATGGCCAACCACACGCCGAAACGCTGAGGGCGAACTGGACCAGGGGTGCCCGAATAGTTGGGCATATTCAGTCCGAGACCAAAGGAGGATCCCAAGACCAAGATAATGCCGATTATATTGAACTTGTGTTGACATGTAGTTGCTTTAATAATCCTTCCATTCAGAGTTGGCATGATGTTGCACTTGTTGTGACATGACATGCACATGACGGGATATCAGCCGAAGCTCTCCAGGAGCTCGTCTTCGGCGGCGCAGCCTTTTTCCCATCAGTCAGAGAGATTCTGGCATGCCTGCTGTGAAGTCGGCTCCGCCGTCCTGTGCTCCAGTCAGTGCTCTGGTCACGGGGGCGGGGGGTCAGACATTCAGGGAAAAAGTGGGCACTTGCGGCCAGTCCGCCAGGTGCCGACGGTGTCACGAAAGAGTGGGCAGTTGTTCCTTCCCTTCTGTGAAGGCCAGGACAGCAGGTTCAAATAACTTTGCTTGACATCTTCTGGCAACTTTGGCGTGTACGAAGGAGTCCCAGAGGAAACAGGGATGTCATTCGTGACAGCGTCGGCCTGCCCCGTGTGGTTGGTTGTGGCAGGTCCTGAAGAGGATGGCCAACCACACGCCGAAACGCTGAGGGCGAACTGGACCAGGGGTGCCCGAATAATTGGTCATACTCAGTCCGAGACCAAAGGAGGATCCCAAAACCAAGATGATGCCGATTATATTGCACGTGTGTTGACATGTAGTTGCTTTAAGAATCCTTCCATTCAGAGTTGGCATGCTGTTGCACTTGTTGTGATATGACAGGCAAGTGACGGGACGAGGAGGAGGACGAGGAGGATGAGGAGGAGGACGAGGAGGAGGAGGATGAGGAAGAGGAGGAGGGGGGAGGACGAGGAGTAGTAGTAAATGATAAGGATGAGGAGAAGGTCGAGGAGGATGAGGATGCGGATGATGATGCGGATGATACTGATGGTGGTGCTGCTGATGGTGATGATGACGACGACGATATTGATGACGATGGTGACGATGCTGCTGCTGATGATGATGATGATTCGGACGATTATGGTGATGATGATGCCGATGATGGTGATTCTGGTGATGTCGATGCTGATGATGATATTTCTGATGCGAATGATGTTGATGATGATGCTGGTGATGCTGCTGATGATGATGCGGATGGTGATGATGATGATGGTAGTATGTTGCTGCTGCTGCTGATCATGCCGGTGATGATGCTGACGATAATGATGATGATGATGATGAAGAGGAGGAGGAGGAGGAGAAGGATGATGAGGAGGAGGAGGAGAAGCTGGAGGAGGAGGAGCAGGAGGGGGAGGGCCTGCACTCTGCTTGAATTCCAAGCCTCTCGGCACCCCGCTCTTGCCCACACGGTGGGCTCGGGCTCACCGCGTGGGCCCCCCCTCTGCCACGTAGGAGGCCCGTGGCGCTTTGCCTGGTGCGCGGCTGCTGCCGCACCGTCGTTGACCTCCTCGGATACTGCTGCCCCTCGGCTGTGCGCTCGCTCCCTCCTCCGTCTTGGAGTCGGCTGCGGGTTTGAGGTGGCCCAGCACTGGTTCTGGCCAGCAGGAACTGGCGGGGGGCAGGTTCGATGTTCTGGGTTCCAGGATGTTTCTTGCCTTTTTTGGCCTCGGGGGGTTTTGTCGGCTCCCCACACCGTCAAAAACAGACCCGGGGTGAAAAACTACACCAGATCGACCCCGGGAGGGGCCCGGGGGCCGATTTTGAGCGGATTGGACCTCATTTCCCCCCATTCCCTCGGGGCCCAGTCAGCTCAGACTCCCTGGCCCCCTTCGTGATAGCCAGCTCCAGAGAATCGTACCGCATCGCCGATGCATCGGCGCTGCGCGGGAGTGTGGCCTGGAAGTGCATTGGACTGCCTCGATCACGTCGACTGCTGGCTCTTTGCTGCTGGATCTTCTTTGACGGCAAGTTCGTGGACGCATCGCCGATGCGGCCGATGCGCCAGCACTAGGTCGGGCGTGTCCTTCTACAGGCGGATTTTGGGCGACAAATGACAGCACATATGCTAAACATATTCCCAACAGATGGACAAATAGTCAAACATCGTCCCCATACTATTTTTCTTAACCGTTTTTGAATAATTCTCCTGTGGAGGGACGTGCCCGACTTGACGCCAGCGATGCGGCGTGATCCTCCGGCCTTGCCCGTGCGGCCTTCGTGACAGGCGGGTGCGGGACGTGGTGATCTTGGCGTGCGCCGTGGACGCGGCGGACAAGGCGCTGCTCCCCGCCACCTTCAAGGCGCTCTCGGAGATGATGGACGCGGGGCCCGCGCGGTTGAGCGTCCTCGCCTTCGCTCAGAGCGTGTCCTTCTCCCTAGCTCGGGGGCGGCCAAGGGGGGGTGATGCCAGGGGGGGGGGGGAATGGAGGCGGCGTCCACGATACCTCCCCAGATTTCATGGCGCCCCTTCTTGTTTCATGACGTCCTTGGCCTCGCCCCTGGGCCACGCACATGCCGCCGGCCATGCTTTGCGCCCCCCCCCACCTTGGACGCCCCCCTCGTGGCCGCCCCCGACCAGTCGCCGATCGGAGCGGTGCCCGCGCCCCCAGGGAGGGGGAGGGGGAGGGGGAGGGGAGGGGGAGGGGGAGGGGGAGGGGAGGGGGAGGAGGAGGAGGAGGAGGGAGGAGGGGGGGAGGAGGCGGAGGGGGAGGGGGAGGGGGAGGAGGAGGAGGAGGAGGAGGAGGAAGAGGAGGAGGAGGAGGAGGAGGAGGAGGAGGAGGAGGAGGAGGAGGAGGAGGAGGAGGAGGAGGAGGAGGAGGAGGAGGAGTAGGAGGAGGAGGAGGAGGAGGAGGAGGAGGAGGAGGAGCCTGGATTCCAGCCTCGGGGGCCCGTCGTCGGGCCGGGGGGGGCACCAAAAATGGACCCGGGACGAAAACACACCCCCGTGGAAGGGCTCGGGACCTCTGGGGTCATCAGGGGGGCACCTGAGGGAGGGAGACAGGGGAGGAGGCAAGCTAGGCGTGCAAGCGTCATAGCAGACGCTCTACCCCCCTACCATGCCATACCCTTGCGTAGACCTCTCTATTGGCACAGTCGGATGTCGAACAGGGCAATGATCCCGAGAGGGTACGGGATGCACGGTCTAGCATTGCATGGCATGACACGTGTCGAGAACGCGATTCATGTCGACAACAAGGTCAGAGGGACACCAGAAACGACACAGGACGGAGAACGCAAATGGACAGTTTGGAAAATGGGAGGCGCACAGTGAGATCAGTGCTGCAGCGGGAGCATGATTTTGAAGGACCGAGGCTGCGAAACGAGACCAGCGCTGCAGTGGGAACACGATTTGGAATGACTGGGAGCGTGGAGGTCAGCGCTACAGCGGGAACATGATTTGGAAGGATTGGACACGGGACAATTGAGCCAACGCTGTAGCGGGAGCGACATTCTGAAAGGACAGAAAAGGTTCGGATGGTAAACCACATATTAGTGAGACATTCGGCGGCACTATGTGTGTAACAAACAATACGCGGAGTAGGCCAGGACCTATCACCGCCGTCTTTGGGGGAGAGAGGAAATAGTTATTCATCTTGTGTTCTAGTCAAGGGAGGAAAGGGAGGAAAGGGAGGAGGAGGAGGAGGAGGAGGAGAAGGAGGAGGAGAAGAAGGAGGAGGAGGAGGTGAAAGTGGAGGCCTTTCGGGGGCCTCTTGGAGCCCTCTTGGGGCGTCCTGGGGGCTTCCTGGGAGCCTCTTCGGGGCCTCTTGGGGCCTCTAAGGGGCCCTGTCCGTCGACTGCCTCCTTTGGGGGGCTCTCTGGACCGCCTTGGGGCCTTGCCTGGGCGCTCTAGGGCCGCCTCGGAGGTCTCCGGCGCCGCCTCAGGGCCCCCTTTGGGGCCGTTTCGGGAGTCGCTCGGGCTGCCTTTGGGCCCTCCTGGCCCCTCTTATGGCCCTCTTGGGGGGCTGCTGGGGCCGTCTGGGGGCCATCTTGGAGGCCATATTGGCCGTCTCGGAGGCCACCGTGGGCCACGTGGGCCCTCTTGCAGCCACCCGGGCCGGAACAATATATATATATATATATATATATATATATATATAGATAGCCTACCTCTTTTGGTGAGGCTTTGAGGGCGGCCAGTTGGATCGGCCGAGGGTTCAGGCACGCGAGATCTGGGCATGCCAGCGACTCCCTCGCGCAGGCAACAGGGATCGGCGGATCGAAGACTCCTACGGCGAATCACCGCCGCCCTCTGCCTTTCTTGAAACGCCTATGTGGCAGAACGTTGGGTTAGAGCTTGGCCAAGCTATCGGACCAGTGTTTCCCGAGTCGGTTTGGAAAGCCTTCGGGGGACACGTGGGGGAGGAGGAAGAGGAAGAGGGGGAGGAAAAAGGAGAGGGAGGAGGAGGCCTCTTGAGAGCCTCTTGAGGCACTCTTGAGCTCTATATTGGGCCATCTTGGCGGTTTCGGAGGCATGTTGGGACCGTCTTGAAGACCATATTGTGACTACCTTGCTCGTGCAGAAGGGAAAGAAGACGAAACAGATGATGAAGAGGAAGCGAAGGTGAGGGAGCCTCTTGGGTCATTCTTGGCGCGTCCTGGGAACTTCAGAGGAGTCTTTCGGAGGCATCTTGGGGCCGTCTTTTGGATCGAGGAGGAGGAGCAGGCTGGACGAGAAAGAGCAGGAGGAAGAGATTTCTTGGGAACTTCTTGGTAGCCCTCTGGAGAGGCCTCTCGGGAAGCCTCTGCGGAGCTTCCAGAGGTGTGTTGGCCATCTTGGCCCATCTTGAGCCGTCTTGGGGCCGTCTTGGGGCTGTCTTGGGGGCATCGTGGGCCATCATGGAGCCCTCTTGGGGCGGCCTGATCGAGCATGAGGCGATCTTGGGGGCCTCTTGGGCCGTCTTGGGCTGTCGAAAGGTCCAAAGGAAGCACATCCCAACATCTATCAAACACCTCAGGACACCGATGACTTTTTGGCCTCTTCGGCCTCTCCTGGAGGACGTCTTGGAGGCCTCTGGGGCCATCTTGGAGGCACCTTGGGGCCATCTTGGTCGTCTTGGAGGACATCTTGGCTGACTAGGAGGCGTCTGGGAGGCCATCTTGGCCATCTTGGCCGCCTTGAGGACCATTTGGAGCCATCTTGGAGCCGTCTTGGGGCCGTCTTATGGGGCCTCTTGGGCCATCATGGGGCCATTTGGGAGGCCTCATGGGCGATCTTGGGGCGATCTTTAGGATCTCTTGGGCCGTCTTGGGCTGTCGGAATGCCCAAAAGAAACACATCCCACAATCTATCAAACAACCTTGGGAACACCAATGTTGTTGGCCTCTTCGGGCTCTCCTGGAAGCCGTTTTGGAGGCCTCTTGGGCCGTCTTGGAGGCATGTTGGTGCCATCGTGGCCGTCTTGGAGGGCATCTTGGCCGTCTTGGAGGCATCTTGGAGACCATCTTGGGCCATCAGGGCGGTTTTGAAATCCATCTTGAGCCGTCTTGGGAGATTTCTTTGCGAGAACTACGCGCCCTTCGGGTGGCCGGGGGGACGGGCCGAAGCTCCAGGGTGTGGAAACGCACCTCGTTTCGACGTTCATGTTCCTATCGGTTTAGCGTTCTGTTTTACTTGAACGTTACAGTTGCACTTGCAGTTGCGATCGAGTTCATGATTGTGACTCTTGCAATCATACGTTGACTCAAGCTCATACAACCTCACCGCCATCGGTTCTGCTGCCACCGTTGGTAGAGGAGCCTCGTGGTGTGCTCGAGGCCGGGGGGCCCGGGCGATGAGGCGCCAGTTCGCGCCTTGCGCCGTGCTCGCGAGTTTGGGGCCTCTGCGAGGCCTTGCGCCCGCGTGAGCTCGATCAACGAGTCAGCAGAACGAGCAGAGGGAGCAGAGGGCGACGCAGCAGGAGAGGCGGGCAGCTGCAGGACCAGCCAACGACGATAATAAGTGGAGTGCTGATGAGTGGAAGTCCTGGCGCGATGACGGCTGGAAGGCCGACGGCGGAGACTGGAAGCAGAAAGAAGGATGGTACGTTGGCAACTGGACGGGCGACAGTTGGTGGTTGGTGGTCATCTCTTCCAGGACGTGGTGACTATTCAGATCCTCCTGCAAGGCCCGACTGGAGTCATTACCGCCAGTGGAAGCGAGCGATCCAGAGGTGGAATGCAAACACAGACTTGGCTGTATGGAGGAGATCGGAACAGTTGTTGAAAAGGATTCGGGTTGGCCATGCAAGTTCGAGGACCTGTCCGAGTACGCCCTGCAGGGGCCCGAGTGGCTGAACCTCGTCCTGGCACACATGGACCTGATGATCGGTGAGCGCGAAAGCGACGAGGTCAGGCGCTTGGGAAGGCGAGCAGCCTATGAGGCTAGCCGAGAGTCGCAGGAGACGCTCATCCAGTTTGCGTCGAGGCGCGAGGCGCAGCTCCTGGAGGCAGAGGGGCACGAGTTGTGGATGAGCGGGCGTTTTATAGGTCTGCTCTTAAAAGAGGGCGCCAGCCTCGCTCAGCAAGGCCTCCAGAACCTGAGGGCCTTGACTCGCGGATCGCTAGATTTCGGGCAAGTCTCGTGGGCTCTTGGGCAGATGGATTCGACGGGTTCTGAGCGCTTCCTCCCGAGCCGCCCACGCGCGCGCGTAGCCCTCGTTGCCGGTCAGGACGGCTTGCCCGAAGAGGCACGGCCATCGACAGGCGGCAGGCAGACGCCTTTGATTACGAAGATGAGCAGGACGGCGACGATGACGCTTCTTCTCTTTCTTCTGCAGCCGAGGCGGCACTGCTGGCCGAGATGGAAGAACTAGACTTGGACGAAAGCCAGCTTGACACGTACTTCGCCAGGCGTGCCCGGGGCTGAGGTCGCGGCGGTCAGAAGTCCCAGCGGCCCACGTGGAAGGAGAACAAGGACCTGAAGCGCGAGGCCAAGAGGGACAGGCAGTACTTCGGTTCTTGCTCGGAAGGAGAAGGGTGCTCATCCTCCGCCCGGCCGTTGCCGCGAGACACGGCCGGCCCGTGACGGGCCGCAGAGACCTCGTAGCAAGAGACCGTCCAAGGAGAGGTTGGCGCAGGTGGTCAACTGCGCGCGCTGCAAGAAGAAGGATCACTCCGAGGAGACTGGCAGAAGCAGCGGGGGAAGAACGACGGAGGACTGGCCGCTGCCACTATCGCGCCGCCGGAGCGTGGAGTTTCAGGATATACGTTTACTGGGTGTACTCTCGAGAAGCAGGAGATCCCGGAGATCCAGGCCTGCGACTGGGTGAAGAGCGAGATGGATCAGCCTGGAGCGACAGTGGCGCTGGCAGCCACGCCGGCATTGGCGCTGGTCGACTCGGTCGCAGGCAGCGACCTGATCGGCTACAACGCGCTGAACCTGACGGCCAGGGCACTGGCGCAGCGGGGCCTGGTTTACGCGGCGGCCCCCGACGCCCGGCACAGGGCGACGCGCGGCGTCGGAGGGGATGCCCGCCCAGTGAGCACGATCCTGTTTCCCATGTGTGTGGGCGGCGCCTTCGGTGTAGTGGAGACGACGGTGCTGCAAGAGGGTATCCCTCGTATTCTGTCCGCCCGGTTTCTTGATCTCTTGAAGTGCGTGATCGACCTGCCCGGGGGCGCCGTGCCGGGTGGCGTGCGAGACGCGTCCGCGGCGCTCAATCGCCCCCCGTCGGGTCATCGGCTGGCGTCAGTGGCGGGGCCCGCAAGTGGCGGCCCTGAACCGCCGGCGTCGGCCGTGCAGCGCTATTCGTTCTTGCGCAAGGATCCTTTCAAGGCCTCGCCTGACGGCGTCGCCATGATGAGCGAGAATGGCGAGGTAAAGCTGGATCGAGCGTACATCCTCCGTATTCTCTTCCGCCACGTCGCTATCTTGAGCGCGGTAAGTATGGCTTCTGCTACGGGGGGGCCAAGTGTTGGTCTGCGGTTTCTCGGCGTCCTGATCGTGGTAGGGTGTGCCGTTCCTATCGGGGTCTCTGCTCGGGTGAGATCCACGAGATTCTGGCTAGCGTCCTCGAGGGCCCAGGAGGCGCGCGCGTCTGGGGGTCCCTGCAGATCTGGAACGAGTTTTTCCGACCTGGCCCGAGGCGAGCTTAGTTGGCGCCCCCCCAGCGTTTCGCAGGGGCTTGGGATCGTCCGATAGACCCCCGCGGATCCCGATCCGGAGCGAGATGCAGCAGGAGCAGCTCATGCGGCTCTTCACGGGGCAGGGGCCGCCTCAGCAGGGCCTGGCAGAAGCCTGGCGGACAGGCGGCGACCCGTGGACGGCGCAGTCAGGGACGCCCGGGAAGATGTCTTTTCCGAGCGCCAGCTGGCTGGGGCAGGCAGTGCCGGCCGACGCGGATTGGGAGGAGCCAGTCGAAATGGTCGAAGACGACATCGAGTCGGCGTCAGCCAGCGCGATCGCCTGTGCCAAGCGGTCGCGGGGTTGTGCTGCCCAGCTTTCTCAGGCCGAGCGCCCGCTGTTGCGCCTGTTGGGGCGCGGCCTGCAGTCTCCCCTCTTCCTCCCGCCAGTTCTGAGGCCGAGGGTTCGGTGGCCGACTGGCTGGGGGGTGAGCGCTTCAACGACGATCGAGAGGTGTTCCTCGCGCGGGCCCAGGAAACTATGCTCTGAGTCTCGGTTGCCAGGTGCTTCCAGTTGTAGAACTGTCTCAGAGACCCAAAAAGACCAGTGCGACTCGAGCTGGATCGGTCCTCAAGGAGCTCTTTTCCCCATTCAGGATCTCGGCTGAGGTCGTCGTCGTGGGGGCCGCGCGGGAACTGTCGCGAGTTTCGATCTGCGGGGGGGATGGGGCTCCAGTGGCAAGGCCGACGTTCGCGCTATGTGGTGAATCCAAAAAGAAGAGGACCCCTTTTTATCTTCGCGATGTATCTAGAGTGTCGAGCCTACACTCTTCTGAATTATGTTAACGGTGACCGCAGTGACCCTGAGAAGTGGGAGAGAGTGCTCCGAGCCGGCCTCGGAGATCTCGAGTTGTGCATGGAGGTCGCCATGTGCCAGATCGAGCCAGGCCGTTACTTTCTGTGAACACCCGAGGTTCGCTCTCTCTTGGGTGGCGGCAATGGCGCAGCGTGCTGGGGCAGCCCGGAGTAAGACGTGTTCGAGTGGACATGTGCGCGTTCGGGTCCCAGGTCTCTTCCCTCGGTCTCAGTGAGAAGCCCGCGGGCTTGATGACTAACCCTGAGTCGCTGGCTCGGGTGATGTTTGAGCGATTCGCGCGCGTGCGCGGCCATTTTCACGTCGCCCTCGAGGATGGGCGACCATCCAGGGCCAGGGCCTACCCCATCAAGTTTGCCCAGACAGTGGTTCGAGTTACCGCGGAGGTCTGGCAAGGTGCCCCCAGCTGGCGGTCTAAGCGTGGCTCTGGAGTTTTCGGCTCCCGGGGCTTCCCTCGTCGCGCGGTCGGATTCAACTTCGGCTTTTTCTGTGCATGAGTCTGAGGAGCCCGTGGTGGCTGAGAGGGGCCTCCAGGGGCTTGACCTGGATCTCTCAGGAGACGAGCAGGAAGCTCGGCCACCGCTCCAGTTAAAGCCCAGCGTGCCAGATATCGAGCCGGACGAGACTGACGATCGAATAGTTCACCATCTCCACCTTCATATGGGCCATCCGGACAATGGGAAGTTTCTCCGAGTGTTGCGGGCTGGGGGGATCAAGCCACACATCCTGCGGTGGATTCTCGTCAAGTGCGAGTTTAGTGAGTGTGCGGGGCGGGCTCGCATGGATATTCGTCCAAAGATAGCCCCTCCCCGCGCGTTCAGATTCAACCGCATCGTTGGCGCAGATATGTTTCACTTGTCTTTCAAGGGAGAAGTGGTGCTCTTCCTCAATGTATTCGATCACGGCTCCAATTTTCAAGTCTGCAGTCGTGTGCTGGACGCAATGGCCGCTCGGTGTGGCGAGCCTTCTGCGCCTCGTGGGTCAGGCTCTTCGGACGCCCCCACCTGTTGATCATTGACGGGGGCCACGAATTGGAAGAGCGTTTCGCCAGGGGGTGATGCAGGCAGGGATTCTTCGCCGCGCGACCAATGCTGAGTCTCCCTGGGAGAGCGGGCGCGTGGAAAGGCACGGAGGATCGATCAAATATCGGATCGAGGCCGATATTGACGCCGGCTCGGATCTGCCTAAGGATGTGGAGGAGCTCGAGGCCCTAGTGGTGGAGCTCGTTAGCCATGAGAATAGGTTCTGGCGCCGCTGGGGTTTCGCCACTTCCAGCTCGCGTTTGGAGAAAACCCTCGGGTTCCTTGCGAGTTGTTGAGCGACGATCATCTCGGCCTTCCCCGCTGGCAGGACGTTCTGAGGCTCCATTCCGAGTAGGCTCCCGCGGGGGCCGAGTTCGCTCGGTCCCAGGCTGTCCGAGACAAGGCGCGAGAGCTGGCCCTGAAGACAGCGGCTCAAGAGCAGATCCAGCGAGCGACCAAGGCGAATACCCCTCCTCTTCGTCAGTATGTCCAGGGCCAGTGGGTGTTCGTGTGGCGCCAGTTTCTCCCGTGTGTCGTCTCGGATTCGCTTGGGGTCCGACGCGGAGCCTGGTGTGGCCTTGGCATGGTTGTTTTGCGTGGGCACGGCACCGCGTGGGTGGGAATGCGTGCCGGGCTCTGGAAGTGTTCTTCGCCCCGAATCCGGCTTGCCAGTCCGGGCGAGGAGCTGCGGGCGCGGCTGGCGGATGGCCCCCGGTGGCAGGACCTGGTTCGACAGGCTGGGGCGCGCCGCGCCCCCAGTAGTAGGCGCGCGGCGAGAAGGTGAGCCGTCGGGAGACGCATGGAACCAACCCCTTCCCGCTAGCACCGCGGGGGTCGACCCGTTTTCCAATCCAGGCCCCCCCGAGGCGGCGGGCCTTAGCGGGCCCCGGGGTGACGCGGAGGACTCGGGTCTCTCAGACCCTCGGCGCAGGTATTTGTCCCTCGCTCCTCCTCCTCTTCTGAGCCCTGTCGCGACTCGTCTTCCGTGGGTCTCTGAGGAAGCGGAGGTGGCGCCTGATCTGTCTCGCTTTGTCTCGGATGATTCGGCTTCGAGTGCCGCGCCGCCAGAGCTTTCGGCCCCGTCGCCGGCTCCTTCGGTCCGTCTGAGTTGTCGCGCGCTTCGGCAGCCCGGCGACGCGCCAGTGTCGATCCGCCGTCAGCGAGAGCTTGTCCCCCCAGGGCCGCCAGAGCTTTCGGCCCCGTCGCCGGCTCCTTCGGTCCGTCTGAGTTGTCGCGCGCTTCGGCAGCCCGGCGACGCGCCAGTGTCGATCCGCCGTCAGCGAGAGCTTGTCCCCCCAGGGCCGAGCAGCGACATATGTCCGCCTGCGCCTGCGAGAGCTCTCGCTGGGGAGTCGGAGATCAAGAGGCCCCGCCAGGCCTTGAGCCGCCCGCTGGCGCCGAGGATCGATCGGCGACTCAGGTCCCCGCCTCGTCTCTTCCGTCTGGTCATCCCTCGCGAGGGTCCCTGAGGTCTGGCCTGCCGATTCCAGATCCCCCTGGGGAGCCCGCGCCTGGGTCGAGCGTGCTGCAGTCCGCCACCGTCCAGGATCGGGTCAATGAGATCGAGAATCGGACCGGATAATCTCCACCCATCTGGCCGTCAGCCGACAGGGGGTGCTCTCCGTGTCGGGGGATGTCCGAGCAGACGTTCGATTTCCTGGTGTCGGCGATGCCCGGAGAGGGCGTTCAAGCGCGGCCGCTACGCGAGGGCCAACCTGGTGCTTTGCCGCGGGAGTCGGGGCAGAAGATTCATCCTCGTCGCATGCGGTCGGGCGCGGATCGGAAGTGATAAAAAAACAAGTCGGGTCTGGAGGATCGGAAAAAGTTCGACGCCGTGGATCCGAAGGAGTGGGGCTCGATTTTGAAGTCTTCAAGAGTGAGGGTGATCTCGCCCAAGCAGGCGGAGGCTGTGCGGAAGGAGTCTCCGGGGCGCAGTATCAGTTCCAGGATGGCGCGCATGGAAGCCGGCAGAGGGGGCGTTTCACGCCCCCACGGCCAAGAGCCGCTGGTGCGTGCGCGGTCGCCGAGACCCAGGCGCAGTTAGTCTAGAAGTCTAGTCTCCTACTCCTCAAACCTCCTCCATCATGCTCTTCCACCGAATTTCCGTGGTTTCGAAGCTGATGTCGAGCATGCGTTCTGCCAGAGCGACCGCGTGCGGCGTGCTGTCGGCGAAATATTGGCAGTGCCCTGCGACGTTCTCCCTCTGGGGCCGGGAAGTTTCATCCAGCTTAGCGTCAATGTATACGGTCTTGACGGTGCTCCCCCAGCATGGCGAAGAACGGTGCTGAAGTATCTCGCCGAGAATGGTTTTGTTCGCGCCCTGCTGGAGCCCTGTTGGCATGAATTACTGCGCGCGTGGGCAGGGTTCCGTCGTGATTCTCTTAGAGGTGGATGATTTCTTCCCGGGGTCCAGAGAGGGGTGGGGCGTGAGTGGGCTCGGGGAACGTTAGAGAAGCGTTTTACGTTTGGGAAGTACCGTGATTGCCACCAAGGCTCCCTGGATTTCGCAGGTAGACGGTTAACGGTACACGGGAACCGAGCTGTGGTGGATATGGGGATCTATCGGGGGTTTGGGGGTGAGATCGAAGTGGAACGGAGAGCCCCCCTACTGGGAAATCGATTTCGGTTTCGCGTTCGTGCCGTGCGTGCGGGCGAGGCGAAGCTGCGTGGGCGGAGGAGAGGAAATTCTCCTGTGGCTGGGCCGCAGCTGGACCAAAAGGATGTCCGCCCGGCAACCAGTGCCGCGCGTTGTCCTGCAGGTGTTCTGCTGGCGTCCCGCTGGTGCCCCGCCGGCGCCCCGTCGTGGCAAGGCCGCGGCCGGGCCGAAAAGTTCTCCGCCAGGCAACCGGTGGCGCGCGTTGTCCCGCCGGTGTCCCGCTGGTGTCCCGCTGGTGTGCCTGTTGAGATCGACAGTGAGATCGATAGTGAGACCGATAGTGAGATCGATAGTGAGATCTATAGTGAGAGATCGATCGTGAGATCTATAGTGATATCGATAGTGAGATCGATAGTGGGATCGATCGTGAGATCGATCGTGAGATCGATCGAGTGGGATTGATAGCGAGATCGATCGTGGAATCGACCGTGAGATGAGTAATGAGATCGAGAGCGAGATCGATAGTGATATCGATAGCGAGATCGACAGTGGGATCGATAGTGGGATGGATCAGAGGTTGGGGGTGTGATCGAAGTGGAACGGAGAGCCCCCCACCGGGTAATCGGTTCCGGTTTCGTGTTCGTGCGTGCCGTTCGTGCGGGCGAGGCGAAGTTGCGTGGGCGGGCGAGAGGAAATTCTCCTGTGGCTGAGGCGCGGCCGGACCAAATGATTCTCCCTCCGGCAAGCGGTGGCGCGCGGTGTCCCGCCGGTGTCCCGCTTGTGGCTGGTCCCCGGCTGGACCAAACGATTCTCCCTCCGGCAAGCGGTGGCGCGCGGTGTCCCTCCGGTGCCCCGCCGGTGTTCCGGTGTCCCGCTGGTGCGAAAACGATACTGAGACCGATGGCGAAATCGAGTGTGATAACGATAGTGAGATCGATAGTGGGACCGATAGTGAGATCGATCGTGAGATCGATAGTGAGATCGACAGTGAGATGAATAGTGATATCGATTGTGAGATCGAGCGGCATCGATAGGGA